GTCAGGAAACAAAAAGTACACACAGGGTCAGGTCATCAAGGAAGAGTACAGTAGGCAGTTAGAATTATAAAGGTCAGGAAAGAATTTATTTGGACAAGGAATCCTACCAGGTTCTTTGGAAGAATGCACAATGAAGCCAGCAAAACACCCAACAGGTAACCAGTTTACCTGGGGATCAGTTTTCTCCAGCAAGACAACAGGAAACTGGCTGAGGCCCCGGAGCACAGATGGAAACTGACAGAAATATAGTCAGGATGCATTTAGTTACTTAACCCAGAGCTATAAGGATGTTGACAACAATGGGATGGTTATCCAAAGTCAACACCTCCAGAGCAAATTTGCCAGGGTAACTTTATCTCACATTTTGATCAAGTAATCAGTGCTAGGTTGTGGAAGCCCTTTGGCAAAAAGCATCTTGATCTCAGCAACACATCTGATAAAATGCCCCATGACAGGCTGCTTTGCAAGTCAGCTAAGTGTAGCATGAGAGTGAAATGGATACCACGGCTGACTTGCAAATCATATCCCAAGAGTCCTCGTCAATCATTATTGCACTAAAAAGATAAAGTGGGCAGCTTAAAAGTGCATCGCCTCTATCCTCTACTCATAAATGTTTTCCTTAATTGGGGAAAAAAGTGGTAGGAATTCTTATCAATTTGTAGAGTATATAAAATTGGATAAATACCTAGAAGACAAGAATAACAATGTTGAAAGGTTGGAGAAACAGGTCAAAAGTATCTTAATGACATTCAACAGAGACAAATGCATAGGTACAGAGTGGGAGATATCTAGCTTAATAGCAATAGTTGTGGCAATGGAATGGCACAATTGCAGCCAAAACAGAGCCCTCGGTTCCTTCTTTTCCAATGGAAGGGAAGAGGAAAGTATAGTAGGCTGGGTGGGAAAATACAAGGGGTAGCAAGCAGCAGGCTCTAGAGGTCAGAGTCAGTGTGGGACAGAAGTGGCTGCTGCTGCTGCTTTTGTTGCTAGCACAAGAAACTAAACAAGTGAAGAGAGCAGAATCTTGCCACAAGCAGCTAATCCCATTCCCCACTTCACCTCTCACCCCCCCTGCCATTCAGAACTTACCGGTACTGAAAAACAGCATGTTGTTTAGAGCATGAGGGATGGTCAATAGGAATGTCAGCAATGCGTCGGTGCCTTCCCAACAGATAAGCACTCTGCCGGTGAATATACATAACAGGAAGAACCTCATCGTTCTTGAAGGGATATAAACGCCATCGCTTTTTGGGAATGCGTGCTTCTGGGGGTTCAGAATATTTGATTACAACGCCACGAAATGTATTGGAATCCTCCAAAAGGGCACCAGATAGTTCAAAGCTTGGTTTTTCCTTCTTGCTAGCCTCCTTGTCCGTATTCTTGTTGCTGGGCCCTCTTCCCTCACTATTTTCCTCATCCCCACTCCCTTCCATTTGTTGACGATGTTGGCGCCGCCTCTCGTTATAGAATTCCCTTTCCGCCTCTTGATCCAGGAGATGGTGGGCGCCCTGTTCCCTTCCATGGCTCTCAGCCTGCTCTTTGGCGAGCTTCCTTCGGGCTGAATGGTCCCGGTGTCTCTCTCTATTTCTTTTTCGTCGCCTACGTTCAAGCTCTGAGCGGTCTTGATTCTGCCGCTCCTCATGTCCCCTCTGAGAATGATCCTCTGGCTCCTAGAAACAGCGGAGGAATAAATAGGTAGCTACAAGTGGAATTCAGGGACAAAGATAAATAAAACGTTCTTGGATTCCCATCTGTATTTTGTCAGAGAGTTCGCTATTATTCCAATAATGGTTGAAACACAGAGCTGCAAAACATGGCTAACATTTGAACTACGGAGTGATCGAGTGTAACTGAATGGTAAGCCCAGAAGGTCTCCAAGCTTGGCCTCTTTAAGGCCTGTGGACTTCAATTCCCAGAATTCCTCAGCCAGCTATGCTGGCTGAGGAATTCTGGGAGTTGAAGTCCACAAGCCTTAAAGAGGCCAAGCTTGGAGACCTCTGGGTCAGCCTAATGGCTAAGGGCAGCGGGGCAACGGAAGTGCGAGGATTGCCGACCTCCAGAAGCGCCTAACCTGGCCCCGAGAGGCTGGAAAAGTGGCCGGCTGCGAGGCCCAGAGCCAAGACTAGTCGTCTCAACCTATGGCCGGGAACTCGCTGGACGCAGCCCGAGAACATCCGATCTGGCGCCTGGAGAGTTGCCGACCTGCCGCTCACTCGGCCCGCGGCCTCCTCCCTCCCGGGCACCCCGCGCCGGCTTCTTCAGCCGCGTACCTGCTTCATCCTGACGCCGGCGTGTCGCGGGCTCCGGCTCCGCTTTTCCCGGGGCAGCGGCGACCTGCTCCTCTTGCCCGAGGACCGGCGCCTCTTCCTCGACTGCGACCTTCCAACGACACACACAAACCCCGTCAGGCCCCGTCAGGCCCCGGCCCGCCACGGTCTGCCTCCCCACCCCCCACCCCCTCCCCTCCGGGTGGCCCCTGCCCTCGGCGCTCACCTGCCGGCCTCCCGGGGGCTTCCCCGCGGGCTGCGCTTCCGGTGCCTCCGCCGCCGCTCCGACTCCTCCATCGCGCCTCACCGGCTCCCAGTTCCTCGTTTCCGCCTCTAGGCCACCGCCGCCCTCCGCACGGCCCGGAAGCACTCGACCCAAGTGCTTCCGCCCTCAGTGGCGTGCCTTGCGTCCCATGAGCGTCGCGCTGCCGCCCGTGATTGGCGAGGCCAGCGGGCGGGTTTCTTGCGTCACGGCGGGCCGGAGGGCCTTGGTGCGCCTGCGCGCGCTCCCGCCACCGCCCCCCCCCCCCCGGGCGTCCCCGTGGCCGTGGCAACGGCGGCGCAACCAGCTGGGCGCCGGTCGGGCCCGGAGGAGCCGCCATGATCCCCCCCGCGGACTCCCTCCTGCGCTACGAGACGCCGGTGCTGGTCAGCCGCAACACCGAGAAGCGCTCGCCCAAGGTAGGCGGGGGGCAGAGGGAAGGGGCCGGAGGACGGCAGGTATTCACCGCTGCACCGCTCCGCAGGCCCGGCCGTTGAAGGGGACCCCGCAGCTGACGGCGCCCGCGGGGCCCGTCTCGCCGCCCAAGGGCAAGGCGCCCTCGCCCTCGGTGGACCCCAGCAAGCAGGCCGAGGAGATCCTCAACGCCATCCTGCCGCCGCGGTGAGGCACGCGGGGGGGCGGGGGGCGCGGGGGGGGGGACGGGCGGGCCGGGGGGGGGGGGGGGGGGGGGACGACACGCTCTCACCTGCGCTTCCCCTGCAGAGAATGGACGGAGGAGAACCAGCTCTGGGTGCAGCAGGTCTCCAGCACGCCCAGCACGCGCATGGACGTGGTGCACCTGCAGGAGCAGCTGGACCTCAAGCTGCAGCAGCGCCAGGCGCGCGAGACCGGCATCTGCCCGGTGCGGCGCGAGCTCTACTCCCAGTGCTTCGGTGAGAGGCGGGGGGGGGGGGGGGGGGGAGGAGGGCGAGAGAAAAATGATAAGTTACTCTTTTATAATAGGATTCATATAATTAGACTAGAAGATTCTCTTTTGCTCTTTCTGATGCTCCTTGTTAACTTCCTCTTTTGCTCTTTCTCTGCATAAACCCCCACCCTATAACCTAAAATGTAAATGAGATGGGGGGGAGGAGGAGGTGGAGGGGCTGCCAGCAGAGCCTGACTCCCCCCCCCCCCCCCCTCCCCCCCCCCCCCCCCCCCAGACGAGCTCATCCGGCAGGTGACCATCAACTGCGCCGAGCGTGGGCTGCTGCTGCTGCGCGTGCGGGACGAGATCCGGATGACCATCGCGGCCTACCAGACGCTCTACGAGAGCAGCGTGGCTTTTGGCATGAGGAAGGCCTTGCAAGCCGAGCAGGGCAAATCCGACATGGAAAAAAAGGTACGGTCAGCTGGAGCTCCCTGGCGCCCGCTTGGCCCAGGCAGAGGGGGAGGCTTTCCTCCCAGGCTGCCCCACGGAGCAAGCCAGAGCAAAGGGTGGCTCGGAAACAGCAGCCGGGCCTTTCCCTGACTGGCGTCTTCCCTGCCTCCAGATTGCAGAGTTAGAGGACGAGAAACGGGACTTGGAAAGACAGGTGAACGAACAGAAGGCCAAGTGTGAAGCCATTGAAAAGAGGGAACTGGAAAGGCGGCAGGTTGAAGAAAAGAAGCACACGGAGGAGGTCCAGTTCCTGAAACGGACTAATCAGCAGCTCAAGGTTAGAGAAGACACAAACTGAGCGTTCTGGTTTTAATTGGCTGCACCTGTAGTCAGGAGTGGGATCCTACCGGCATAACAACCAGTTTGGGGAGCGCACACATGCTTGCCAAACGTGCATGCTACCGGCTCCGGCGAGCATTTACCTTCTCCAGCTGACAAGCGGCACTCAGCAGTGCCATGCAAAGCAGCTGAGGAGGTAAAAGCATAGGATAAAGGACAGCCTAGAGCCCCGGCCGGCAGGTGGGCCGAATAGACGAACCTGGCCAAACCAGTAGCATCCCACCTCTGCCTGTAGTCACATTATTCTGCCTTCCCTGCACAATACTAGTCCTTGACTAATGACCATAAACTGAGCCCACAATTATGCTGGTTAAGCAGGCTAATGCCTGAACTGAACTGATTTTGATTTTTGCACTGTAATTAAGCGAATCTGTTTTGTCCAGTTTTTTGCCATGTGTTCGTATCACTGTAGGATACTGCAAAGGTGAGCCAGTTGCCAAGTGCCCAAAATGTGATTGTCAGGATTCTGGCAGTTACCCCAATTAAATCATGAGTCTCAAGCCAAACTTCCAAAACTTCAAAAGGATTTATTGGGAGTTAAAATGTCCAGCACTGCCTCGGTGTAGCCAACTCTGAGACACATAATTCATTGTCACCCTTGACCCTGGTTTTCCCCCACCCCTGGGTGTATCGCAATTCATATTCTCCAATGGGACACTTCTATAGCCAAGAGTCATAACTCATGCTCTCCAGTTAGAATTTTGCACAGCAGAAACTTCAGTCACCTAGTTACTATCTTTGAAAACTACTTATGGAGTGCACTTTTGCTTTCCAAGCTGCCACACTGCTCCACCTCCCTTTCTGTTGGCAACTAAAAAGACCATAGAAATGTTTTATGAATTGACAGTTGGATCATGTGACAGGGTGCCGCTGCCATCTTAACTTTCAGATCAAGTCATAATTTGTAAGTTAAAGCAGTCACTAAGCAACTGGTTATAAGTCAAGGACTACCTGGACTTGGTTTTTGCCTTAGGCTGAGTTGGCCCTGGGCAATTTACACTGCTGGCGGTGTTGAAGTCTTTAGAAAAAGCCCACTTAGGATTCTGTTTTTCAAACTTAACAATTATGCTTTAATTTCTAAGCCAACCATATGCTGTTGCAGGATGGTTCATGGCTAAAATATTTGATGCAGTGTCTCTCCTTCATGTCCAGAAGCACCATAGTCTCTCAGGGAGAAGTTTTGTATCTTTTGGCATAAGGCAGTGTGGTCCTCACTAATTAACTGCTTTGTCTGCATTTTAGGCACAGCTCGAAGGCATCATTGCACCGAAGAAATAAGCTTTGTCAGCCCAATACAAAAAGTGCCTCGAGGGGGAAAAGGAGAACACGGCTGTAGATAATTTTTTCGGAAACAGTCCAGAATTTACGTGTATCTAAACTGTTCCACCTCATCTGAATCAACATAAATTCAAATACTGTTCAAATGTCTCTTGCACATTTAAAAAGAATCTCAACTGGCTTGGAATTTGTCTTTTCAATTAATATTTACTGGAGATAAATAATGGAGGTGCTTTTAAAAAAACAGTATTTTAGTTCTATGCAGGAATCTGCCCAACTGTAAAACGAAGGGCTGTACAAAATGCATTAAAATTAACCCTGACTCCTGAAATGTGATGTTTAACTGGTGTTCACACATCCTGATTAACTTCTCTTTTACCATCCATATAAGCCAAAGGTAGTAAGAAATCTTACTCTTTCTGCTGTTTTGATTGATTGTTTTCACATCAATGGTGTCTTTTGTAAGGATCCTAAATGGTAGCCAACAGTTTTCATGTCATAAATGAAAATATATTTTTAAAAATAACAATTTCAAGATGTATCTTTATTTATCTTGGGTTGTAAATCTCTGGGCTTCAGTGTCAATTTTCCTCTTGTTCCTGTTTCTATTTTTGACATTATGAGTATCATAATACCGAACACCAACTTTCTTTGAGTGCTGCTGCCGCTCTGCTCTTCTCTTCTGCAAAGGCAAAACAGTGGTTTTGGAAAAATCCAAGACAATGAACAATGTAATAGCTGTAATTTACTATCCCAAAAGGGGTGGGGGGGAAATCCCACATGTAAGTGTTACTACAATTCTATTTTTAAATTCCACACTACATGACAACTATGCCGCATAAAATGAACAGGTTTCCCTTGGGCTGCACCTTATGAAAACCACAAAGGACAACTGATTTACATTCTACCTTGAGTTTCTATGTAACTCAAGGTGACCTACATAATGCTCCTACCTCCTGTTTCCATGAGATGGTTTGGGCTAAGGAAAAGTGACAGTCCCAAAGCCACTGAGCCAGACTTCACTGCTGATACCTACCTCCTTTGAATTTGGTTTCTTGCAGATGCAGGAACTCTGCTGTTCCTCTCCCTCTGAAATCTTCCTTTTCTTTCTTTCTTTCCGTTTTCCTAAAAATAGCACGTCGAGAATAGTAAGAGACAAAGCTCTTTCTGAAGAGCCAAACATTGTGAGCAACGAAGAGTTTTCCAGTAAAGGACAAAACTGTTTTGGAATGGGGTGGTTGTGCTCCCCTTCCACATAAAATGACAGCTTCCTGAACCCCCTTTTTCTCCGATGCATACCTTAAATATATTCAACAAATACAAGAAGCAAAGTAGATCACAAGAGCTTGAGGAAAAGTGCTCTCCAGAATAGGCGTGGGCCTTTCTAGTGCAGCTTCCTAGGCTACACAGATGCATTTGGGAAGCTCTCCAAAGTGAACGAGGGCAACTGCCCTTTTTCACAGTCACTCCCTAACAATCAGCACTCAGTGCATACTGTTGGCGATTCAGATGTTAGCCAAAATCCATGCAGGTTAGTAACAGTTTATAGTTGTGAAAAAAACATTTGTGGAGGACTGGACTGTCTGCACTGCAACACACAGAATTCTGTGGCTTAAGTATGTCATGTGGAATCAAGCCAGTGTTGTCCCCTTATAAGAATAAAGCTATGAAACGTGCATAGGGTGCAGATACCACTGAAGGAGCCACCATACCTGTAGTCTTCTGAGTTTCAACAGCCACTGAATCCAACTCTGGTTTTGCAAGTATTTTTTCATTCAGCCCCTTAGGGATTCTAGGCAGGAGAGCAAACAAACAGTTACTCTACCTAAACCTGACTCCCCATTCCTCTAGCAGTTGTATAGCTCAAGTTTCATAGGACAGCCCCATTCTCCTAATCCTCTACTATGATAAGTTAAAAAAAATACAGTGCACTGTAGAATATATATTTTACAAATAAGCAGTCAAGAAAACCAGCAAACAGATCACTGAAATAAACCCAGTGTACGAATTGCATGTGTCAAGACCTGACTGGAGAAGGCTGTCTAGGCAGTCCTTGCTTAACAACTGCTCAGTTTAGCAACAGTTCAGAGTTACAACAGCACTGAAAAAATAACTTTACTATAAGTCACTGCACTTGTGACTGTTGCAGCATCCCTATGGTTGGTTACATGATTGAAATGTGGATGCTTTCACAATCAATAGATACTTAATGACTGTTGCATGTCCAGCAATCAGGCGCTCACCATTTGCCTGATTTACAGCTGGCTTCAAAAAAAGCCCATGGAGAAACTGGCAGTAAAATTGCAAGTCATGTGACGTCTCAATTAACGACTGCAGTGGAAGTGACATTAATCTGGTTTCCGGTCACATGTGTTGCTTAGTAACAGAGTTGCCAATCCAACTGTGGTCATTAAGTGGGGACTACCTACAATGCTGGAAAGGAAAGAGGAAGAGGATGACCAACAGCCAGGGGCATGGATTCCGTTACAGTGGCAATGAGTGCCCATTAGAAAACCTGAAAGATCAGGTAAGGACAAATCGTGGAGAGAAATCTCTCTGGCTCCTCAGAGTTAACTCTGACTTGATGTTAATAAATGAGGAGAAAGCTGCTTTGAACCTAGAAGAAACCCCTTTTTAGGATTATAATGGGGGCAAATAATGCTTTACTTGTCCTGCCTTTGGGAAGAAAAGAATTTATACATGGCAAAAATGGTGATGCCACTTCTCATAAGCTCCCACTTCCCAAGCTGCAGTTTCCCACCAACCCAACCACCACCAAGTTTTCAAGGGCCTCCCTTCTGCAAAAGCGGGCATAATATGGAGGTGTTCCAGAGTTTTTTATTCAAACCATCACCTAGGGGTGAATAACAGCCATTAATAGTAGGTGAGTTCTTTATCCCAATTGTGCATCATTAGATGTTGGAGAACTGTTTAGCATTGGAAGGGGATGAGATGGGACCTTAGCTGACAGAAAATCAAGGAAAGAAAAACCTATTTGTCCATTCCATCCCAATCATAGGGGTTGATTAATTTCTTTAGGCGACACAAATACATTGGCTGACTGTTATAACTGTTGGCAGGCCTATTTTTGCTGGACGTGATTGGGAATTCCTGCCTGTGGCAGAAGAAACTGAGGAACTTATTTTATGGCCTATTCCCACAGCTGCAGCCTTCCATGTATCTTGAGCATAAGTTCTAAAGCATGCTCCATGCATCTAAGAAGTTCCAAGTAGAAAATGGCTGCTCAAGACTAAGCTTATAGCTTAAGTGGGCAAGCCTGATTTTTTTGGAGGATGGATGGATGGATAGGAAAGATACAGGGTATGCAAACTGACTGGCTGTGCAGGAACAACTATGAGGAGAGAGCAATGTCCAGATTATTCTCTTTTCCTCCATAGTCCCTGCCTGGTTTTGGGCCCTATTCTCCCACTTGCCCAACTATTTCTGCCAGTACTATCCCATTTCAGTCCCTGCATAGACTAAAACAGCCCCTTTTGTTTCATTCAGTGGGCCAGAGAACCCCAAATGTGCATCTTTCAAGCCACCTGAAGACCACTCATCCGTGCACAGAACGTATTGTGCCTGGAATTTTTGTTTAAGTATGAATTGGGTGCTGCAACCGATGCTGGGAAGGAAGAGGATTGGGGGTCAGTCAGCCTTGAGTTACAAGATGAGTGGGTGTGTTTAGGACCTTCTTTTTGACCAATCAGATGCACCAAGGAAACTCAGGTGCCCTACCTTATTGCTGAGAATCTCCTGGCCTTTGCCTTCTCCAAGAATCTCTTGTACTTGGCAATCTTCTCGTCCAGGGACCTAAGTACCACCTTTGGATCTCCTCTGGGGTTAGCCTCACAGGTTGGCCTCCCATGTGGGGAACTCGGCTCCTCCTGTTCTTCCTCTGTACTACTGTCTGTTTCACTGGTAGCCGGTATATTCACAGGGTCCAGATCCTCTTCCAAGAATTGAGAGGTCACCGTGATCTTTTCATAGTTTTGTGGCACTTGGGGCAAAGGCCATTTTGGTACCGTACTGGAGCACTCATCACTCCCAGCCTGTCCTTCACGTTGTTCTTTCATCCCTGGGTTCTCGCTTTGATTGAGGCCTATAATCATATCTGAGGCAGCTTCTGTGGGCTGAGAGATTAAGCAATGGAGGTTAGTCTGCAGGCCAGGTCCATCCCCATCCTTCTCTTTGCCACTGGATTGCTCAACTCCAAACAATTTTGGTAGAATTTTCTATTTGTGAAGGCCCAGATTTATAAGAAAGGATAATCAAGCACACCACTCTCTCTGTGCTTGTGCATCACCACCAAGCAACCATCCAATTCTCCAATCTCCCCGAAAAGAAGAGAAGGATTCCAGACAGAAGCGATGGCGCAGTTTCCTTTTTTTTTTTTCCAGACAACAGAACATGAAGGAGAAGGAAGGTAATTACAGGTCGTCCTCTGCTTATGATCACACTGAGCTCAAAATGTCCATCACTAAGCAAGACGGTTAAATGAGTCTTGACCTATTTTATTTATGGCCTTTCTTGCCAACATTGTTAAGCTGAATCACTGCAGTTGTTAAGTTAGTCACACCAATGTTAAATGAATCTGGCTTCCCCACTAATTTTGCTTCTGAGGTCCCAAGCAGGGATGCTGCAACGGTCATAAATATGAGTCAGTTGCCAAGCGCCCAAATTTTGATCATGTGATTCTGCGAATCCTGAAATGATCATGTGACAAACTGTCATAAGCCATTTTTTCCAGGGTCATCGTTAATTTCAAATGGTCACTAGTGAATGGTTGTAAGTTGAGGACCACCTACTACACTAAAGTTCGTTATTTCGAACTACTCCCATGAGCAGTTTACAACTATGACAAGAGTGCAAAAACATTTTAAGTATGTGTGTATTTCTATTTGAGTAAGGTGGGCCTTCCTCACCCTGCGTGAAGACGGACATCCAAAGGCACAGAAAAGGCTCGTCTATTTGTCTGCCTATTGCGCCCAGACAGACACTATGGATGTTCATAGGGACCCAGGAAGACGGATTGTTACAAGGGAAGGAACATTTCTTATTATTTCAAGTTCTTGCTTGGAAGCCAGCACATGATCAGTTCTGATTGTTAACTATTGGCCCTTTTATTTGTTTTCAGGAGTCACTCCCCCCTTTTTTTCTTTTTGCAAAGAAACACTCAAGCTATTCTGGCAGCCCTTACCTGGGACTCTTGTTCCACATTTGGAGGCTTCACAAAGAACGGGATGCGGCCTCTCTGCCAGTCGTTCAGCACCATCCGACTGACCGTGTGCAGATCAGGCTCTCCTCCCTGGAAAGGCAAGAAAGGCCAGCAGTCACAACTGAAGAAGGGAAGAGAGGAGATCAAAGAGAACAGCCTGATGGTGAAGGGGCCTGGGACCATGACTTCAGGCAGGATGTGGAGGGGGGCGGGGGAGGCACTTATAGGCTCAACTCATACCGAACCTCCTCAAAATGTTTCATTGTGTACTTTGATGGCCTGATTCACCCAATATGCAAAGGCAAAGGGACACTCCCCAAATCACCATGGACCCCATTCCAGCCTCCTGGAGCACGCCATGAGCAGCCACACTGAGTTATCCTCTCCTTGTTCCATAATCATCTTTTCTCTCTCATCCCTTCCAGCTGCTCCCCGAAGGTTCCTCAGGAGCAGGTTCTCCTTCAGAAAACATCCCACTCGTTGAACAAACACCCGCATTAAGGGCCCCAAATTCCTTTCTCTATTCAGCACCCTTAAGACCAGATTCACCTTTAGTAACTTCCCAGTCTGGAGCGCCAGTTTCTTCAGAAAATCCTCTGCATTTTCCCAGGACTCTATTTTATATGTCTTCCGGATGTATTCCGGCTTGGCTCTGTCCAGCACTGTAGCAATGTGGTCTTCTGGACTCTTGATTTTTTCCACCTGAACCTGGAAATTACAGAACAGTTCAAACTCCCAGCTTATACCAAAGAGAGATTTCCACACACACATCTCCAATGACCACCAAGAAAATACAGCTGGAAAAGACTTGGAGGTCTTCTAGCCCAATCCCTAAACCATTCCGGACAAATCAGGTTTTTCTTGAAAACCTCCAGCAATGGAGCACCCACAGAGGTAGCCCATTCCATTGATTAATTCTTTTCACTGTGAGGAAATTTCTCTGTAGTTCTAGGCTGGATCTCTTTAAGGAGCTTTCATCCATTAGTTCTTTTCCTGCCTCAGGTGCTTTGGAGAGTAAGTCAATTGTAGCAGCCCCTTGTGTACTGGAAGACTAACACCTCATCCCTAAGGCTAAACATACCCAGTTCCTGGAACCGTTCATCATACGCTTTAGCCTCCAGTCCCAATATTTGTTGCTCTTCTCTGCACTCTTTCTAGTCTCAACATCTTTTTGTATCATGGTGACTGAAACTGGGTGCAGTGCAATATAAAGCTCTATTAGCCCTTCATGTGATTTAGATACTATCCCTCTGTTGAAGCAGCCTAGGACTGCATTGACCTTTTTGACAGTTGCTAGCTCATTGTGAAGTGGTGGTCTACTAGGTCACCAAGATCCCTCTCACAGTTACTACTGTTAAGCCAACTGCCACTATTCTGTCTCTATGCATTTTTTTTCTTGTCCAAGTGTAAGACGTTATTTTCTCACCACTGAATGCCAGGGTTCCAACTAACATACCCGTAGAAAACAAAACTCTGAGGCAGGTAGATTCCTCAAAGAATTGGATAAGTCATAGTGGCACGGGCTGATGAAAACCAGCGCCGAATACTCCCTTGGTTTTCACCCAATTAAAACTAAACGTTCTTCACTTTCTCAAAACAGTCAGTTACATGGTCCAATCAGGATATTGTCCCATTGCTGGGTGATTTCAATCTCCTCCTTCCGACAAACTGCAGGAATGTCCTTGGTTCCCAAGAGAAAGTATTTTGTTTTGGTTACAACATCCCAACTATCTCTATTCCCTGCTCCCTCTTCCTCTTCTCCAGTGTGTCAGCGCTGACATCTCAAAATGGCCTGTCAGGCCAGCTTCAGGGCTGACACTGAACTGCATGCTGTTGGATAGGACCCAGTGTTCAAATCTGTCAAGGTCCTTCTTGATCTTTTAAACCAGGGGTGTCAAACTGACAACCCACGGGCCGGAAGTTATCCGTGCAGGCCGTACCCACCCTGGCTCCAAAAGCCAAAAATGTAGTGATATGTTGCGTGATGCGATTGAGTTTGACACTCGTGTTCTAAAGTGTTAGCTATTCTTTCCAGTTTTGTGTCATCTGAAAATTGTATGAGTTTCCCTTCTATCCCCTCATCTAAATCATTCATGAAGATGTTGAAGAGCACTGGGCCTAAGACAGTGCATCCCACTGCATGCTTTCCTTCATGTAGATGTGGTTCCATTGAGGACTAGATGTTGAGTGCAGTTTGACAGCCTGCTATGAATACAACCGGATAGTGGTACTGTCTATTCTACATTTTTCTATCTTACTAAGAAGTAGGCTGTGATCTACTTTGTCAAATACCTTACTGACATTTTAAGTAAACTAATATCTTGTGATTATTTAAGCACCTGCATCTTGGCAACGTTTCAATAATAAATAAGACTGGTAAGTCAGACTAAGGCAGAAAAAAAACTTTGCCCAATGTCTCCCTTGACACTTACCACTCCTTTCAGTACAATATCTGTTTCCGAGTCTCCTGAGGGATACACCACACCTGGGCAGTCAATAAGGAAGATACGGCGCATTAAAGTGATGTACTGCCATACCTGTAGGGGGGAAAAATAAGGCCAGGCTGTCTTTTATTTCAGAAGGAACAAAACACACGGCAGCAGCTCTTGATACTATTCAAGGATCTAAACATCACGAATTTCATGGCCAGGAAACATGTGAGTAGCCCTTTATTGCCATGACCTCACCTGCTGTTACTTTGGAAAGTCTATTTAGCAAGCAAGTTAGAGTGCAGAGCATATAATAAATCCAAGCCTGTTTTTCTTCTCTATAAAGAGAGCTTTTCTAGTGTTCATACAGCAAAAACTCAAAACCACGTTTACGTGGCAAGGGTTGGTTTTTTTGATACTGATATTTAAGTGACATTCTGTACATGGCTAATCAGCTGGGCATATTGACACAAAGTTTCTCACTCTACATGCTAGTTCCAACATGGCCATTTTGAGGACTTTCGCCCATCTGATAAAAGTTTTGTTCAGCAACCACCTCCAAAGGATAGTGACAAGTTGTCAAGTATTTTTGTCATATCTGCAGAAATAAAACCTTAAGTACAGAGAACTATAAACTACACATCGGGCACTTTTACTCCAGCCCTGCAATCCTAGAAATGAGAACATGCTTCACACTGGCACAGAAGACCTTGCCTTCAGACAGAAGAAGTCCTGTTAATCACAGTGGCTACATTCTAATCCTGAATCTGTGTGGAAGCTTGCCTTGGTTTCACCAGCAATGGGAGCCACATTGCAGACCTTCTTGGAGCGGAGAGTGTTGATTACAGAGCTCTTCCCCACATTGGGGTATCCAATGAATCCCACACTGATCTGCTTCTTATCTACATGCAGCTGTTAGGGACAACACACACAGAGAATATTTATTTATTGAATTTATATTGCCGCCTATACACCCATGGCGATTCGAGGCGGCTTACAGAATATAAAACCACATTTAAAATTAAAAAACAATAAAAACAAAAAGAATCAAATAAATAAATAAAGTACAATAGAACAAAATCGGGGGGGGGGGAATCACCCCCCAACCCCCACCACCCCGACAACAACAGATCACACGAGCCATATGATGGGCTCCATCCTGCTCTGGGTTCCCCAGGCCAGAATAACACACAAACACCCCAAGAATTAGAGAAAGAAGCTTTGGACCAGCAATTCAACTTTTGGAGAGCCATGTGCAAGACAGTTGATTGACTAAAAAAGTTGCCCAAACTGGCCATCTCTTTTCCATCTACAGCTTGTTGGTTTACGCTTTTAAAATGGGCTTATAAAATAAGCTTATAAAATGGGCATTCATCAGTAGAAACTTTAAGCAACCAGGTTCTATGGAAGACTGGCAAAGGCTTCAGCTGATGGGGCAACTTAGTCAGACAGGGAATTTATTTCTTTGTTTGGAAAGTGAAGTGTTAATCATTTCTGCTTTCCCTTGAAAAGCACTGGAGACTGCAAGGGGGTATTCAAAATATAACCTCGCAGCCCCCTGGCCATTCAACTGATCTCCTCTACAAGCCCACGCCAATGTGATCATGTCCCATGGAGGACACAAATAGCTCATTAGGAAGCAGACGTTCAGTTTTGCTCTTTCTTTCCCCATGTGGGTGATGCTGATCCCCCTCCAGACTACGCCACTTCTTGGCCAGTCAGAAGTCCTTTGGGAGATAAATGAAATGAAAGCAGTTCAGGTGACCTGATATCATCATGACATTCTGAACCCTCCCTCAAAGTAACCATTAGACCAGAGGCCTCCAAACTTGGCAACTTTAAGACTTGTGGGCTTCAACTCCCAGAGTTCTCCAGCCAGCATAGCTTACTCTCTCATAATCCCTTCCTCTGCAATCTCTCCAATTTAGGAGGTTAAGGAGAATTCTGGGAGTTGAAGTCCACAAGTCTTAAAGTTGCCAAGTTTGGAGACCCCTGCATTAGATTGTCTACAGTAGGAGTGTCAAACTGGTGGCCCATGGGGCCAGATGCATCATGCGCAGGCCATGCCCACCCCCAGCTCCACGAAGGGGGAAAAAACCACAAAATGTCATGTTGACAGCATGATGCCACAAGCTTGACACCTGTGGTTTACAGAATAGCATGATCTCTGGGAGAACAAATCTTTCAGACATCCAGCAGCTGACTCAAGTCTCTGCTAATTACGACAAATCACTACTCCTATCTGTGCTGCCATCAACCAAGCAACAGAATCTCCAAGAATAGCAGCTTCTTTTTTAGTTGAAGCTTCAAGGCACCTCTGGACTACTTAATTCTCTTGGAACTTTGTACCTACATCTCCCCCCGCCACCCCCAAAACCCACCCCCAACGTTCCAAATTAGTCCCTGCATCTCAAGAAGATGTTTTGGGGAAGAGGGGGTCAACCTATTCTCCATTCTGAGATGTGGGGACTAATTAGAGAATAGGTTGACTTCTTTGTGACAGCCCCTCAAGCACTGGTAGACAGCTATCATGTCACCCCATCTCTTTGCTGGACTCAACAGACTCAGTTCCCACAACTGTTCATCGCACGATTTAGCTTCCAGTCTCCTAATTATCTTTGTTGCTCTTCTCTGCATAATTTCTAGGGCCTCGGCATCTTTTTTCTATCGTGGTGAACTGGACACAGTATTCCAAGCGTGCTCTTACAAGTGCAGGCTTTTTTCTTTTTCTTTGCAGCTGCAGCACATTGCTGGCTCATACTGAACTGGTGGGCCACTTAGCACAGTATTCTTCAGTACATTCAAGGCAAGCACAACGATTTACTATACCTTTCCAAACTGCCGCAAGAGCTGAATGAAGGCGCCTTTTCCAAAAGAGTTTGTGAGGCTGGCATGAAAGGCCAAGGTTGGATACTCCTGAGACAGCACTGCCACCCAGCGCCTCTGGAAGAAACAAGCCAAGTCTCCATGCTCAGCAGCCCCTCCACCCCATGCAACCCAACAGCTTAGGGAGGCAATTGCCGGCTGACAGGTTCTGGACCTACCCCCACCCAAGACCATTCCAAGGTACGGTAGGTAAAGCACACATTCAAGCAGTTGCAAGAAGTCATTTCTGACTTAAACCTCTGCAAGCTCTATTCCCGACATTTCCCAAGCTCACGTGCAAAATGGACTCTGCGCTGGAGACGAGCAACCAGCAGCTTCTTCTTGCAGCTCCTCATTTCCCAAGAGACCTACCGTCACCCATGTGGGCACAAGATCACATTTGTTCAAGACAAAAATGAGGTGCTTCCAGGGCTTCTCCTTCTTCAGGTAGGCCTCCACGTGAGGGGAGCGGGTCCCCATGGGATCTCTGGCATCCAACACCTGCACAATGACGTCTGATGAATCGATCACCTGGCAGTACAGAGACAGGACGAGAGAGTTCGTGAACTGGGGAAGCATCCAGGAGGATTTCCATGCTTTGACTCTTCATAACAATTAAGTTCAAGCATTTCAAACTACACAGGCCAGCAATTCTGTCGAGACTGAGATGATGAGAAATCTAGATTTGAACACATCAAACTCCAGGCCTGCTTTAACTTTATCTTGGAAGAATCTCGGTGCTTTTGGTCTACAGGTTAGGGAAACAGGCTGGAAACCAGGAGATGGTGAGCCCCAGTTTTGCCTTAGGCATGAATGCCAGCTGGGTGATTTTGGACCAGTCACCCTCTTTCAGCCCAATCCCCACCTCACAAGGAAAGATAGGAGGAAGAACAAGTATTAGGTATTCTTGCCACCTTGAGTTACTTATAGAAATAATAGTGATAAAAATAATAAAATAAAAAGACAAGCAAGCTAGCTCAGGACACCTTGGCAGGAACGGCTTTCCCATGCCTTAGTCAGAAAGGTTTGTGGGAACACAATAACGCAGCCACATTCGCCACCCTTTCATATACCTTGTAAAGTTCTCCCCAGATCCGCTTAGATTGTCCTTTTTTGTAGATTTCTTCTTGCACCTCCACCCTGAAAAAGGGAACAAGATGCAGAAGCACAAAAGCACAACCATGCTGTATGTCAGCAGATGACTAGATCACAGATTCCTTTTCCCCTGGGAGAAGGAATTAATTGTCCCTTCTCACAGGATACTCTTCCATCAGCTGAACCATCCATGCAGGTGCTGCCGTGGTGGCTCCTCTCTCATGCCCTATTTATCTTTTTCCATGAGTAAAAGGACATTCATTTATTTGCAAGTGTTATTAATTTTAAGTGCCAAGTCTCAAAAGGAGACACATTGCAGGTGTCCCTTCTGTTGGGTCTACGTTGAAATCATTTAGCTGTAATCAAGTAAAACAAGGACTTGCAGACTATAGCAAAGCTCTCTGGTACATGAAATATCACTGCACCTGGAAGGGCAGAGAATATGGCAAGTCTCGTGGTCAGAATGGGAAGAAATCAAGTTGAGTGGAAGCAGAATTGCGGTAGTATCCACCCAGAACAGACAAGCCTGAAACTCCAGCCAAAGAAGTCACAGTTGTCAATGAGATGCCTTTAACGCAAGCCCCCCCCTCCCCCCAAATCATCAGGTGCTCCCAATCACTTAATGTAGCTGGAGCAATTAGTGATTAGGGATACAGGTGGATGCTGCTGGCTTAGGGAATGACTGAGCAGCCAAGACCCCATAAGGCACCTGTACACCAAACCATATTCCTAGGTGCCAGTTCCAACAGTATACCTCACGCCAGTTTCCTCTGTCACCAGATCCCGGTCTTTGTCTTGGCTGTAGTTGCTGGCCTCAGCTACGGCATTTTCCACCAAGGACTGCATATCACTTGCCAGGAGATTTGGTCGTTTCCGCTGTGATTTTGGACCAAAGGTTGTTCCAAAGGTTTCTGTATCAAGAATGTGGACTTTGGAGTTCTAAAAGAAGAAAAGGACACTGTCTATATCAGGGGTGTCCAACCTTGGCAACTTTAAGACTTGTGGACTTCAACTCCCAGAATTCCTCAGCCAGC